CACACTGTCCTATACCCTAAACCAAGACAAGAGATCTGCTCTTACCATCTCATCTTTTTAATCACTGCCAATTCAGTACAGACTTTCATCCCTTGTGAAAGGAACTAAATCAGCACTTATTTTGGCCAGATACCCGAGTACAAATTTATTTACTCTCTGTCAAAACGGAGCGAGAGGTGTTCACCTAAGAGTTGTCCAGCTCCTGAGCTATGCATCTGGACCCTGCTAGTTGTTTTGAACACAGCACATGCAGTTTTAATTTCAAAATAATTTTTAGACCGTTCTGCAAGTGGAAAAACTTCCAAAGATTAGTGGTTCCCTCCAGTAATTACTTTCATGCTCACAAAACTATTTACTGAGCTTTTACAATTCGGTTTGCGAAATAATTTGAAAGGCAAGAACCGTGGAAATACAGGATCTAGTCCAGAAGCAAAACTATCAACTCATCAAATTTCTCATATGAAGAGTTAGTAAAAAATAAATTACTTCATCATCTGAGAAGACAAGGTAATTTTCAAAATCTTGAAGAATTCAAGTTTATCTAAACTATTTATCCATAAAAATGTGTTTCAATATCTGACTGATACTTTCCATCCTCTCACTGGCCACACACAGTTCACTGCTTTAGCACTCATTTTGAGGAGAGGCAACGTGAGTTAATATAACAGCAACACTGAGATGAGCCATCAAATTGATTCAAACTTCTGGAAAAGGCCGTTGGTCATTTTTTGCCAAAGCATTCAGTAATGCACAGACCTAAGCATCACAGCCAGTAAGAAGCGGGTAAGCGATAATCCAGTTTATCATCGTTAGGAAGTATCAGTGACAGAGCAAGGGGCTGCTTTTCACAGAAACAGGTCAGGAAATGCTATGGAAGCAACAGCCTCTGCTGCTGAATACAGAAGAAATTTTTTGTATTGTATCAGAAAACTTTCCCTGTCCAAGCAGCATCACTGAACAGCTCCAGAAGGAGCCTGACAGCTGCAATAAAACTGCCCTAAACCCCACAGTGGGTATAAGCCAAAATCCCCAAAGGTGAGTCTCCCTAAAGGAAACCGCCAAATATTTCTACGATTTGAGGCTTCAGATTTGTTTGTTTGCTTTTGAAAAAGGGGTACCTCGTAGTATATGTTTTTCCAACTTCTGACTTGTTGTATTTGTCTTTAACAATAGATATGACTTCCGTGGTGATCCTGACCACAGGAGGGGTAAAACGGTCCCCTTTGGTTTCGGCAACAGCCTCTGAAGTGGGAGTATCCTGCAGTGCAAGGCAGTTATCACTCTCCTCTCACGTAATGGAAGTGAAAAGCAAACAAATTTGACAAAATTGGAAAGCATCTGTCTCTGGTTTGTTCAGCTTTTGTTGCTAGAGAAAGCTACTAGTCTTCATCTTCCTGGAACTCACCATCAATACGCATGGCTTGAAACAATCTGCAAGACAGCCAATAATTTACATCAGGATGTAAAAAAAAAAAAAGTAAAATATGTAAAAAAAAAAAAAATCAATCTCAATGTGACAAAAAATACAAAAGCAGCAAGTTTCACAATTCTTTTCAGTATCATAAACCACTCCTGCTGCAATCTGGAAGCTGATTAAAATAAAGCTACTCTGCATTTCGACAGCACATTATACCAGGAGGTTGCACAGCACTTTACAAACGTGATGTCTCAAGAAATCCCCGAAAACAACAACAACCCAAAACGTACTAGAAGTTACCCAGCATGCTGCCAGTCCCAGCTGGTCTTTAGGCAGCAGGTAAGCAGCCACCAAGCCTGCCTGCTCCAAGCAGCTGACATTCTAATCAAACAATGCAAAGCTAGGCAAACAACTGCAACATATAAGCAGGAAGAGGAAGAACAGAAGGGAAGAAAATGTGGGTTTTTTTATAAAACAGATGAGCTTAGTGAAGATAGGTAGAGGTTAAACTAAACGAAAAGAAAAAAGAACATGAGAAGAAAAACAGAAAGGAAAACAGGGTAGGAAGTGAAAAAATTACTACTGGGAGAAGAGATAATGCTAAAAAAGAAGTGCCAAGAACAAGAAAAAAATAAATCCTGTCAGGCACATCTACTGCAGCAGAATAGACAGTGGAGGACTGAGTAAAACTACGGGTATTTTGACGTTTTTATCCAGGCACGATGTATCACAGCGATGGGCACGTAACCAGTGGCATACACACCAGCTCAGAGGCTGCCACTATTGCACCTCTCTGCCTGCCCTTTCCTTCGTCCAGGTGGCAGCAGCATCCTTTGTCCCTTGGTAGATCCCTAATAGTGATGATGCACACCAAGCCTGCAGCTTCTTAGAAGCAGCTTTTTTACCCAAAACCTTGTGCTGTGCTACCATATACCTGATTTTCATTTACCTGATTATCATATACCTGATATCATATTCCCTGCCCATGGCAGGGGGGTTGGAACTGGATGATCTTTGAGGTCCCTTCCAACCCAAACCTTTCTGTGATTCTGAGCATCTGCAAGGAAACATTTCACTACAGGCTGTCTCGCAGTCAGAGGCAAGACGTAAAGCCTCAGCAACAGGCTCAGAAGACTTCTCCAGAATTTTAAAACAAAAATTCTCAAAAAGCAAAACCACATGCCAAATCACTCCTGATATTTTTTTATTGTTAGTGTCAGATCCTTTCAAGTGTAAATATTTGAGAGAAGAAACTTGCATCGTAAACTGTACAGCTACAAATTTCAAGGTAAGAATAATCTGGGAGAGACTGTAAGAAATTTCTAAGTAGAAAAACAAGTGGTAGGGCACTAGAAGAAACACACGTAAATAAATACCCACCTGTTGTAGCACGGGGAAGATGGATCATTGAAGTGCCCATATGGGTTCACCCTTGACAGAGAACCCATACAAAGCCAGCAGAAATACTGCATGCAGCCAGTACACATCATTTTGTTACAACCATCCAGTTTCTAAGGGGAAGAAAACAAGAAGCAGCAGTTACCAAAATCCTCGTGTCAGTCTCTAAATGGTAACAGTCCTCCAAAACACACCAACGGTGAACATGTTGTACACTGACTCTATCGCAACACTGATAGTTCTTCACTGTTCAAAAGAACTACGAGCTCGAATCACGGACTTGTAAACGGGCTGTAACACTAATAATACTGGAAATTGATATTTTTCTGAAAAAATAGATTTATTTACTGGCTGTAGTTTGAAACAGCAGTAGCCAGAAACACACGGAAAACAAAGGGATTCGAATGTATCCATATTCAACCTGGATCTTTTTAGTACTGGAGTCTGAACAATGTAAAAAATACCTGCTGTATTTACTCCAGTCCCTGAGCTCCAGAAATATCACTTTCTATCTAACACAGACCAAAATGGAAAGTTCTCTTACCATTTCCTACAAATTTACTTTCCCTGGTGAATTGGAGGCTACAAATCTCCGTTCCAGCGTAAATACAGAACTGACTGAATTTATGTTAGTTTCTGTTCACAGTTACTACGATTCTTCAGCCTTTCCCCTCCGTGCCTACCTCTATGTAAGTGCCACAGCAAGGACAAGACTTGGAGTTCTTTTCCAGCCATTCTTTACTCTCCATCTCCTCAACGGCTTTCTGAATCACTCGTTTGCCATAGCGTTGTTCCAAAAATCTTTTCGTTGCCTCGTCTGCTTCTAAATATTCATTTCGCAAATCCATTAATTTCTCTGAGGAATAGAACAAGAAAAAAACCAAACTGCTTTTGTAATATATTATACAAAGAAGTCCGGCTAGTAACAGCGTAAAGTAGTCTCAAAGGAAACTAATATAATTAAGCAAGTAAAACATCAGAATACATAAGGAAAAAAAAATGAGAATATTAAAACCCCTCTACCTCAAAATTTAAGTTTTATACTGTTGCATTATAAGAGAGAGCAGTGAATGGAATTAGAACAAGCCTACAATGTAAATAAACTGAAAATCAGAAATATTATTTCAGAACGTATGTTAAAGGAAACTTTGTCACAAGATTTTGAGGCCAAACACACACAGAAGCATCCACCTGATTCCAGCATCATCTCTGACAACAGAAAGTAGTGGATTCACAGGAAAGAGAG